TGCCAGATAGCTTCAAAGAGCTGTATCCATCAACACGTGCCATCATTGCCTGCACTGAATTTTATATCCAAACCCCTTCTTCATTGCTGTTACAGTCTCAGTTGTATTCATCCTACAAGCCGAACACTACTTTAAAAGGTTTAATTGGGATTGTTCCTCATGGGGCTATCACATTTGTTTCTAGCCTGTACACTGGTTCAATATCAGCCAAAGAAATAAGTCGTTGTCCTGGCATTTTGGATCTTCTGGAGGCAGTGACAGTGTTATGGCAAAGAAGGGGTTTGATATTGAAGGTCCTTTAAACAAGTTTCTTTGAATTTACCTCCCATTCTTCAGAATCTAACTTAATTTTCAGCCCAGGATGTTTTGGAAACAAAAACTATTGCAAAAATAAGAATCCATGTGGAACGTGCAATAAGAAGGATAAAGGAATTTCATATATTTGACTCTAACATTTCATTGTCTTCCCTGGGATTTGTCGATCAACTGTATATAATTGTCTGTTTGTTGACTAACTTTCAAGGTGCACTGATCAAAGACACAGATGATAGTGATACCACTGACAACTAAATGTTAAGTATATAATAGATTAAAACATATTAGCCAGGAATCATTTAAGAATAATTTGTACATATCATGTTGCACCGACTGTGTACGCCCTCTTCTTAAGAAGCCTTCTCTGGATCATACGCAGTTTTCAAACTATTGCCCCGTTTCAAATCTTACCTTTATCAGCAAAGCAATTGAAAAGTCTGTTGCTAACCAACTGATTACCTATATTAGCAAAAACAAGTTGAGCGAGACATTTCAGTCAGCCTATAAGTAGTATCATAGCACAGAAACGGCTCTCATTCGCGTGCATAACGACATCTTCACAGCCTTTGATAACCGTAGAACAGTAATTCTATTACTTTTAGATCTCTCTGTTGCCTTTGATACGGTTAATCACGATATTCTTCTTTCTGGTCTACATGAACGTTTTAGAGTTACTGGCAAGCCATTTTTATGGTTTCAATCTTATTTGTCCGATCGCATACAATATGTGTCTGTAGATGGAAGAACTTCCGTGAAACATGCTATTCAATGTGGTGTTCCACAGGGTTCTGTTTTGGGACCCATTTTGTACCTTCTTTACACTTCACCGCTCTCTGACATTGTTAAGAGATTTAACTTAAGTTATCATTTTTATGCTGATGATTCGCAACTTTATTTATCCTTTCAGCCGACTATACCTGGTGACAAGGATTTAGCTGTGTCTAACATTGAGCGTTGTGTACATGAAATTGTTCACTGGAAGTTGGCTAACCGTCTTAAACTAAACAAGGATAAGACTGAATTACTAGTGATCTCTGCTAAACATCTACCTACGCCAACTGTTCAAGATATCTCCGTCGTCAGTGAGACCATCCACTCCTCACAGAAAGCTAGAAATATTGTTGTTACCTTTGACAATCATTTTCTTTTCAACGATCATGTTGCAAGTATCTGCAAATCATCTTTCTACCATCTCCGTAATATCAGCTATATAGGAAAGTACTTGTCATCAACCACCACTGAAATACTTGTTCATGCATTTGTATCTTCAAAATTGGATTATTGTAACTCATTACTCTATGGACTACCGAACTACCAAGTAAAAAAGTTACAGCACGTCCAGAACGCCGCTGCTCGTCCCATCTCTCTTTCAAGAAAACATGAACACATTACGCCTATTCTAATGAATCTTCACTGGCTTCCGATACATTATCGCATTGTGTTTAAAATTCTACTCATCACGTACAAAGCTCTTAACAATCTTGCACAGTCGTACATTCGTGATCTACTCACACCTTACGTTCCAGCTCGTCAACTGTGTTCATCATCTAAGAATTTCCTTGTGATTCCTCATTTTCATTTGAAGACATATGGTGCAAGATCTTTTTCTGTAGCTGCCCCCACACTCAGCAACACTTTGCCGTCCGATATCATGAACAGCTCCTCAGTGTCCGTTTTTAAAAACAAACTTAAAAATTTTCTTTTTAAAAAAGCGTTCTTCTAATTTTACAATTGTGTCACTCTTGTTAAGCGCTTTTGAACTTTGAGGAAACTAGCGCTATGTAAGTACTTTATTATTATTATTATTACCCACATAATTGTGTGAACTTTATAACAAGGAAACATATGGAAATGTACAGCTGTTATTGTAATGGTCACTGTGCACTTCACAGAAAATAGGTAAATAAAAAAGAATCAATTTTGTCTTTTGCAGTTTGAAAAAAGATGGGATCAAACATAATTCTTTCACAGAAAAAGGCAGTGTCGTTGATGTAACTGAAAAAATCACACCACCCAAGGCCAGTTAATGCTAATTGACATTGGACCTGATAATAATAGTCATGATTTCATTTAAGCTTGAGAACATTTGAATCCTTGTCCTTTGTCAGATAGGTCACATTCTCAAAGTTAGTAGCACCTTCCTAACAACCTTTATCTCCAAAAGACCAAAAGGTGAAAGGCCTTGCTCCTCAACATTCAAATCAAACACTTTGCGGTCAGGGGTGCACCCTAACCATGGACATTTTGGATTTATTACCAGCCCTGATGGGAAGAGATCCACTTGGTTTTGCTTGGCTATGCTGGCATATATATAAGTGCAGCCTGGTGTTCCAAATCTGAACCTCTCGGCGTAGGTGCTGTAACCACATGTCTTGATGGGTTAATTTGCCTAACTAGATTGTCAAAGTTGCTCTGCCTTTTGGCAACTTGTCCAAAATACTAGCTGGGATCCTTCTGTCCCTTAACATTGTCCAAACACTACTCTGACTTTGTGCCCTTGTTTTTTCCTCCACTTCAATGGCAGTTTGTCTGGAGAGACTCAACACATCCAGTGAAGTAAGCTTGTCTTGCTGGAGACACAAAAACACATCATTTTCAAATCGCATCTCGGCACGTGGAAGAGGCAAGTCTGGGGAGGAAGTGCCGGAGCAGTTGTTTATCAAGTACTCCTCAGATAGATTCTGTTGATACGATGTTACACTTTCCTTCACAGCATGACCAAATTTGGTAGGTACCAGGTGTAAACGATCATCAACTCCAGGAGCTATTGTTGCTATGAGTGGTTTTGGCTCAACACTGTTGTAGTGGCTCTGATCAAGTACTCTCTATTGCCTGCCTGGTGAATACAGAGTGTTTTTTATATATCGGTCATAACCGCCTCCCGGTTAGCTCAATGGATAGAGCGCTGAACTGTTGTGCGGGAGGTCGAGGGTTCGAGCCCCGGCCGGACCAACACTCAGGGTCTTAAAATAATTGAGAAGAATTTGCTACCAAAGAAATGGTTAAAGAAGAAAGAAATGGTTAGATATTCAATGGTTAGATACTCAAGAAACGGTTAGATATTCTAGTCTTCTCGGATAGGTCCCGTCTCCTGCAGGGTTGGGGTAGGAGACGTTAATTTCCAACACACGAGATTACTGTGTGATGGATGTCCTCCCCTGGGGTGGGATGGGTGGGATATCGGGCGCACTTGATTTGGAGCCTCGCTCTGTTGTGCGACCCTCATCATACTCTGGTGAAAGTGATTAGATAAATGAATAAATAGTTAGCCCCAGGTCGTGGTTTCTTTACCAAGACACTTTGGACTTCTTAATTGCCAATTTTGCGTTCTCTTGGAATGTTCCACCTCTCTTTCATGCTCGTACATGTTAAATCATCTGGAAGAGATGAAAAACCCGGTTGCTTGCAATGTGCCAAATAATACAGGAGGCCAACAACATGATTGTAATAGCCCTCAAGGCCTGCCAAACAAGAGCACTCTCCAGAAATGGCTTTTGAGTCAACTACAACAATTAGGTGTAGTTGATGGGGGAGTTCACTCTTCCTCATTGAGCGATGGCACTCGGCAGTAATGTTGGCAGAACCCTGCCCGGAAGACACTGTAAGGAGAGAAAAAAACTAATCTCAGGTTTTTGGTATGAATTAAAAAAACAACAACAACTACAACTTTCAAAGAGCAACGTGTATGTGTATTCACAATTTATTTTCTTACTACATGAAAACTCACCATTCACATCGCGTAAATATCTAGGCTCAGCGAAAATCTTATAGCCTTTGCTTGTGTGCCTGCAGCTAGATTCTTTCTGGCCATACGCTTCAACTTCAGAAAATGTAAGGTCAGGAAAATGCTAACAAGTCAGCAGAAACAGCTAGAGCAAAGAAATAGTGGTATATACAAATATCACCCTAATTTCAATGTAAACCTTCTAGAATAAAGATACCTGGCATAAAACTTCGTTTTGTATTGAGAACACAAGATGAAAACGAACAATTTATTATTATGAGTCAGTAATATACAAGACTGATATAGCGAGCGAGAATGTAAACAACACTAGTTGTGTTCAACGATCTTAAAAGAATTTGACACGCAAAATCGGAAATGTGGATCATAATCTTCTGGATTCAAGCAAATATAATTCCTAACACTATCGCAAGATGTTACGTTTATAAGATTGAAACGTGACTGTAAACGAAGAAACTCACCGTCCCTCGGTCCTAAAGAAGTGGCCACATCTTGCCTTATATCTGGGCTTTCGCCGGGCTTTTTCTCCAAGAGCGAAGGTAAATCAGGTGGAATTCAAGCACGATCAAACAAGGTTACATAGGTTATATAGGTTACATAGGTTAATTGACCACTCCACATGAGGGATTTGTAGCGTAGTCCAAACGAGTACAAGAACGATGGCAACACAACGGTTCTTTAATACGTCTCATAAAAGCCCGCCATTACTAGGCGTAAAACAACAACAACGACATCCGGGATAACCCTTTCATTCTACTGCGCATGCCCGAAGGGCCTATGACATCACAGCATCGTTACATCTCCCTTCTTAAACAAATAAAGCAAAGCGAGGGGACAGTAGGGTAAGTAATAGTTAGAAAGTCAAGCGCTCAACAAAGAGAAGAAAAACAAGTATAACGGTGTTCACTGTCCAAAACTTTTTGGAAAGGCCTATACTGAATTCCTAGGTGGTGAAGTCCTTGAGGTAAGCAGGTCTCCTAACCATCCTGCCACTTCTAGTAGAAACAGGGGGAGGGACACCTGGCGAAGCTGGGTGTGGATCTGGCTGTGCCACATCTGGTAACTGCAACGCTGAGGGTTCATGGGGCGCCTGGAGTGTCTCCTCAGTAGGTTTGTTGGTGGAGGGTAGAGTTTGAGCATTGGCCTTCGATTCTACTATGTCTTCGTCTGGCATCGCCTGAAAGTTCTCAGGAACTTTGTACAGATGTGAACGGTCTCGGCGGTAGACTCTCCCATCTTCCGTGTGGACCTGATAAGAACGTGGAGCTTCCTGACAACTCACTTGTGCTTTAAACCATCTTGAATGACCTGGTAACGGTCGGACCCGCACCACGTCTCCATCGCCTAGCGGCTGCAGATCTTTAGCACCTCTGTTGAAAAAGAACGATTGCTTGTTTTGGCTCAGTTGTAAATTCCGGTGTACATGGGGAGTGACTTTGGGCTGAAGTAGGTGTCTAGCCATGGGTAGCAAGATACAAGATCTGCGCGCAAAGAGACGCTGTGCAGGGGTGCTTTCCATTCCTTCTGATGGCGTATTCCGGAAGTCCAGTAGAGACAAGTGGGGGTCATGGCTTGCATCAGCAGCTTTTCTCAAGATATTCTTGGCAGTTTTGACACTGTTCTCAGCCTTCCCGTTGGATTGAGGATACCGTGGAGACGTTTTAACATGTTCAAACTGGTACTCGGCGGCAAACTTCTGAAACTCAGCACAGTCGAACTGTGGGCCGTTGTCTGTGGTGAGCCGATCTGGAAGACCATATCTGGCCAGATGGGGTTTCAGCTTGTCGATGACCGATCTGGCTGTCGTAGACGTTAGTATATCCAACTCGAAGAAATTAGAGTAGCAGTCGGTGGTAATCAAGTACTGGGTACCATTGAACTCGAATAGGTCTGCTGAGATGCTCTGCCATGGTCGTGCAGGTATTTCGAGACATTTCAGAGGTTCTTTCTGCTGCTGTGGTTTGTAGCTGTTGCAGATGCTGCACCTTGAGATGAATTTCGTGATTTGCTTGTAGATGCCTGGCCAGTAGAAGGCTTCTTTGGCTCTCCTGAGGCACCCCTGAATGCCCAGGTGACTAGCATGTACTTTAGCCATTATGCATTGTCTGAGACTAGATGGCACTATAATGCGGTCACCCTTGAAGACAATACCATGTTGGATTGACAACTCATCTCTGAAGGGGAAGTAGACCTGCAACTGGGAGGGTACTTCAGTCCTTCTCTCGGGCCAGCCTTGTGTGATAGTAGGAGTCAGTGTCTGGAGCTCTGTATCAACTTCCGTGGCACTTTTTATTTCCTGCAAGGTTAGTTTCCGAATGGGTACAGACTCCGCCATGTCTACATACTCCGTCTCAACTTCCGTTGGTGATCTTGTGGCGGCAATGCTCCATACTTCCTGTGTGTCCTCTATGTCTAGTGTACCTAGGGGGAGGTAAGCTCGGCTAAGTGGGTCAGCTATGTGCATCTCTGTACCCTTTCTGTCGGAAACAGCTAGGTCAAATTTCTGTAGACGCAATAGCATCCTCTGCAACCGCTTTGGTGCACTTAATAGAATTTTTTTCATGATAGATTCCAAAGGTTTGTGATCAGTGTCAATGAAAACCTTTCTGCCATAGACAGAGCCCTCAGATCGCTCAACTCCAAAGACAATTGCTAATAGTTCTTTTTCTATCTGAGCGTAGTTTGTCTCCGTAGGCGTCAGTGCCTTAGAGGCATACGCCACAGGGTGTTCATCTTTTATCAAGCACGCCCCAAGCCCACTCATAGAGGCGTCGCACTGGAGTACGGTCTTCTTTTGGGGGTCAAAGATCTTGAGTACTGGTGCCTGGGTTAAGGCCTGCTTCACTTGATCTAGACACTGGCCATGAACTTCTTTATCCCAGATAAATTTATTGTCCGTCTTGACAAGATCTCTCAGTGGTTTGGCCAAATCTGCTAGGTTGGCGGTAAACTCTTGCACATAATTTATCATGCCTAGTACTCTCTGGACACCTTCCTTGTCAGTAGGAGGCGGCATTTTATTGATAGCTTTCAGCTTGTTTGGATCTGCCTGGAGGCCCTCCGATGATATGATGTGGCCAATGCAGCTGACCCGCTTCTGTCTGAACTGTATCTTCTCTGGGTTGAGCTTAATGCCCTTTTGCCGACAGCTGACGAACACCTCTCGCAGGTTGTGGTCGCGATCTTTGAGTGCTTCCTCGTCGGTGTCCCCTGCTCCAAACACCAGGATGTCATCTGCTATAGCCGTCTGCCCTTGTAGGCCTTCAAGTGCAATATCAAACCTCCTCTGAAATTCCTCTGGAGCTGGGGATACTCCAAACGGCAAGCGAAGCCATCGATAGAGTCCCCAGGGTGTTCCAAAGGTAGTAGCAAAACTGCTTGACTCATCCAGCTGTATGTGCCAGAAACCATTTTTCGCATCTAGGACCGTGAACACACGGGCCTTCGATAACAGGGGCAGCACACCATCTATTGTAGGTAAGGGGTACTGATTTCTGTGTAAGGCTTCATTCAACGGTTTTGGGTCAATACATAGTCCAACTTTGCCATTTTTCTCAGTTGTGACCACAAGTGCTGAAATCCAGCTCGTGGGTGTATCGACCTTCTGAATCACTCCAGTATTTGACAATCTGTGCAGTTCGTGCTTTAGAGGCTCTCTGAGGGCAATGGGGACTTTCCGTGTAGGTAACTGGACTGGCTGGACGTTTCTGTCTATCTCCAGGTGGAGTAGCTCTTCTAGTTTGCCTTCCCCAGTGAATACGTCGGTGTACTGTGAAATGTAATCTTCCACCTTGGGATCTTTCTCCTCTACCCCACTTAGCTCCACAGAACAGATATTCTGGCTGTTGACAGTTAGCAGCTGAAGCTGTTCGCTGGCCCTCAAGCCCAAAATGGATCTACACTTCCCACGAACGAGATGAAACTCGATGTTGTATTTCTTGTTGTTCTTGAGGTTGACGACTTTGAATCGTTTCTTTCCCAAGGGTTTGACCTGAGACTGGTTGTACATTACCATGGTCACAGGAGTTTTTTCAGAGTCACTCAAGCCGTCTTGGCCACAGAGCTTTAACACGGTCTCATCCGTCATGAAACTTTTCCTGGATTCCATTGATCAGTAGAGTGGCAAACACTTTGTTGGGGGAGCGATTAGAGGCTAGTGCATTAACCTGCTCTTTCACTTCTATCTCGGCCACATATTCGTACTCCTCGTCTTCGGATGTGTGGTCCACAGACAGCACTTTCTTCCTAGATTCTTGACAACGTACCGCAAAATGATTTAGCTTGCCACAATTCTTGCAAGATGTTCCCCATGCAGGGCAGTTCTTCTTAGTGAAAGGATGATATCTGGAACAAAACTTGCATTTGCGTTCGTGTGGCTCGTTTTGGCTCTTCTCTGGAACCTTTGCGTTCCTTTTGTCAACTGTTTTTTTTTTTATTGTCCTTCACTAAACGGACATCCTCTTGATTCATCTCTTTCAGCTGCCTTGCTGATGTCTGCGAAGATCTGCAGATGTCTATGCATTGCCCTAATGTGAGCTTGCTTGTCTGCAGGAGTTTCTTACGAGTTGAACTGTCATTAATGCCCACCACCATTCTATCACGAATAAGCGAGTCTGTCAGTGACCCGTAGTTGCAAGTCTTCGCTAATTTTCGTAATGCGGTGACATACGCATCAACTGACTCGTTTGTCTCTTGGTCCCGGCGGTTGAACACATATCTTTCATAGGTCTCATTGCACTCCGCAATGCAGTAGTCTTTCATTTTTTCTAGGATCACTTCTGGGTCTTTTCTTTAGTATTCTTTCTCGAACTCCATGGCATCAATTACGTCTAATGCATCAGAACCGATACATGTGAGTGGCGTGGCTGCCCGTCACTCCTTATTTCTGGCCGGGTTTTCGGGGTCTTTCAGTTGAGCGGCGATTTCGTAATTTGACCACGCTCGAAAGAATCTTTGCCACTTGACGGGAAGGTTTCCACCGCTGAAATCCATCCTTTCTGGAAGCGGTATATTTACCGGAACAGTTATCATCGAGGGTGGTGTACCTGAAGAAGCGCCACCACTTTCTTCACCCGTGGCAGGCATATTACTTGTTCAGAAATATCGCCGAGATAATTCAGAGAAATTACTTCACCAAGTTGGCTTTCGGCCGGGCCACGAGCGGTAGTATAATGTGTGTTTCACTCCTGGCACCATGTAGCGTAGTCCAAACGAGTACAAGAACGATGGCAACACAACGGTTCTTTAATACGTCTCATAAAAGCCGGCCATTACTAGGCGTAATACAACAACAACGACATCCGGGATACCCTTTCATTCTACTGCGCATGCCCGAAGGGCCTATGACATCATAGCATCGTTACAGGATTTTCCGGGCCAACACCCACCCATCCCACCCTAAGGGAAGGACATCCACCACACAGTAGTCTCGTGCGTGGGGAATTAACAATAAACTTCGTTTTGCGTCCTTAAACAACAAACGTTTGGGATGTCTTGAACCAAAAAGTCAAAGTTCGTTTAGCTTGAGTTGATCACCACAATAAGTACGACGCTCATTTGCTTGCTCACCAGCAAGGTGTTGCCATGTGGTATCCAAGCACGTGATTAAGTCCTGCGAAGAGCCTATCGTGAGCAAGCAAAAATATTTGTCAAGTTATAATTATTATTTTTATAATTACAGTAATCTACCTGATAAATGAGAAAAAAGTAAAGCTTTGTTTTGTGGCATCCAATTTATCAGCATGCATGTAATAATTCTTTTTTTAATGATATTCATGCAACAGGTAATAAAAACAAGGATCCAAGTGAAGATGGGAATGTTGAAGACCAAAACAACCCTGTGTATCCAGAAGACAAAATAATGCTGATGATTTAGATACCAAAGATTCTGCTGGTGTGTACTTTTCATTGTGTGTTATTTGTACACCTCAATCACTCAATGTACTCTATTTTTTAATTTTTCCCAAGTTGCTGAAGCAATAGTAAGGATGCAAAAGTCAATTGAAATCCCAGCTCCAAACTCCTGGAATTATAAAAGTAGGATTTCATTGTGCCTTACACTGATATTTTACACCTTGTTTAATGGTGTTCTCACTGCTGGCGGCAAAGGATAAAGTAAATTGGTACAGGTATTGTTGCATGAAGTGCTCTTCAATGTTTAATTTTTTTTTTTAACTATCAATTATCTTATTGTTGGTCATATCTCAAATCTTCCTGGCATTTTTCAACATAAGTAAATAAATGTAGCGGTGCAGAATGTGTTAATCATTAGGTTTTTTTGCCGAAAATCAGAAAAAAAAACATGAACTTGAAATTTAAAAGCGATTTGTTCAAGAGTGATCAACCACCAGGTTTCTTCGATTGACTATGTGCTTTTGAATGTGAAAAGATAAAAATTGAAATACGCTTATTAAAGGGACATTTGATTGAACCACACGATTATCAAATTGAAGTCAAATTACAGTTTTTGTGCCTACTGTGCTTTCCCTTTAGGAAGGCTGCAGGCACTATGTCCTGGTGTTATGTTAATCCTTAAGCATCTCCTAAGCCCATTGCAGCTTTCAAAATGGTGGAATACCTTGGGACACATTTCTTGTGACTCTTCCTGGCTCAGTTCTGACACTGGTCATTTTTTAAAAAATCTGATTGGGTTTATTTGGACTCAATTGTCTGTTTTGGGGTTAAATTAAATTTTTTTTTTAAGGGCCTCATCTCTGCAAGTCAACATTGTTTTTTCTTTGAACAAAAGAGCAACCTTTCCTTACAAAAATTTGGAACCTGAGAGAGCCTGTTCACTGCTCTGTGCCAGGTTCAGTCTCGTTAGGCTCTTTATTGCTCTGTCTGGTTCTGCTTTTATCTTGCTGATGTTATGCTGGCGTCTGGTTAAAATGTCAAGCCGTAATCAGGCTCTTGTCCAGCCAGACATTTTCTTATGGGTTGTCAAACGTCAAATGTTTACTCTGAACATATCTACCATATCCTTTGTAGAAGAATTCAAATTATGATAAAAAAAGATGAAGAAAGAAAAAAAGGGAAAAGAAAAACAAGAAACGAAAACAACAACAAATTGGCGTGGCCAGGGCTCGAACCTTATACGTCTAGGGAGTGGTTATATCCATAGCCTCGGATGTGCAGAGCATACGAAATGGCAAAGTTTTGTAATGAATTAAATTTGTTCTACGTTTCATATATGCACTGGTTCCATTAATTTCCTGCCCTGTTCTTGGCCTGTCAATTGACCACTGTACAAACTCTGCTCCAACCAAGTCCTCCTTTTGTCTCAAGTTTAGCATCAACAAGAGCAGTTCATTAAGCACAGTGACGGTACGTTATACACCATATTGCTTTTTTACTGCAATACTCTACAACTGCACAACAGTAGGCAAATGCAGTCACAGACTGCCTTTTAAATAAAGAAGTCAACAAAATTTTATTGCATTTACAGTTAACATTTGTAACAAGTCCAGTTAAGACCAGCAAATAAATTTATGCTAAATAGTGCAGCTTTCAACAAACTTAACCCTTGCGAAATGGATCTTGGAATTCCTAGGAATTACTGGGAATAAGAGGTGTGAATTTTCACCGTAAATTCGGACCAGGGATTCATAGGAATTTCCAAAAAAACCTAGAAATTCCCAAAAATTCCATTTTTATAGCCAACAGGACTTGGAATTCCTAGGAATTCCAACTAATAGCACTGAAATACTGTGAATCTAAAAACTGGCTGGAAATTCCTTGGAATTTTTTATTTATTTCAAAAAAAATAGTAATAACTATATGTTAGTGTGTAGTGTAATTTGATCAGCGCAATTTGGTGTATCTCTAAGCAATCTGATTGGGGTATCTTTTTTTTTGGTGTATCTCAAAGCGATGTGATGGGCGCAATTTTTTGGTGTATCACAAACCAATCGGATTGTAGTATTTTTCAATGTCGCACCAATCAGAGCGTTCTTGCCAATTTGTGGTTTGACAGGTCTTCAAATTTCAGCGAATCAACGCGTGACTCGGGGAGAGTGGTTCGCGAATTAAGGAAACGTATTGGTCGTGTTGGAAAAGCGGCGGAGTTGAGATCATTGTACGACTATGGTTATTCATCGTTATAAAGGAGACCGAGTGGAACACGAGAAAAATTTTGAATCAAATATTGCTTGAGATGTTGATGGGAGCAACTTCCGAATACTCGGCCGCTATTGACTGTTATGAATGGATTGCTCCCTCAGTCTCGATGTCGAAAAATAATCTTAAAAGAGAGGATATTTAACAAGTGATCCCGCATTCAAGCTTTACTGAAGTCGAAGAATGATAAAATGATATGGCCGTTAAACTGGTGCATCCACAGTCCCGCGCTCACGAATTCGAAGAATGATATAACGAGGGGGCAGTAATTCCGCGCTTTAGAAGTCGAAGAATAATTAAAGAAAAGGTGAGGTTTACCAAGTGTTAACGCAATCTCGGGTTTACTTTATTTCGTTTTCTCGACTGAGGGATATTTCATTGCTACACATGAATTCCATTTTTAATTTTGCTTTAAGAACGAGGTAAGAATGACATCTACAAGAATTGTGAGCTCATCTACCTAGTGTAATGGCTATCCTTTCGTGAGGACTTTATCGCTATGATCTGTCGGGATTACAAAGGTTGTCAGGGAATTTTTTCTACAAATTGCAAGCTAAAACGTGCATGTTTTGTGTGCCACTCTTTCACTTACAACGCACACACCGTCAGCTAAAGGCCTAACGCCAATTTAGCACCAGAGCGTGTTGTTTTGGAAGGGCTAGTTTTGCTGACTCTGGTAAAACTTGCGCAAGGTATTTGCATAAATTACATTTGATTGAAGATCTTGCTTTTTTGCCTTGTGGCTGCTCTCTTTGTAAAGGTTGAAAAGACCACTAAGTTATTTTTACTTTCTGTGTTGACCGCCATGTTAAATATCCATTACTTTGCTTCTTACAGTTCTCCGTGAATTAGATATTGCTTAAAACGAAACTTTCCCGCTACAATTGCGTGTCTACTTTT